AATACCAGCCGTATATTAAAAAATATTAATATTTGAAGCTGCATAGATTTGTAAAAGGAAGAATTTGGGATTTCTAGGAAATAAAATGCTTAAAAGAGATGTTTGTCTTTTAAGTTTTAGGTGAATTTGTTTTACTATTATAATTTAAGATTTATTCTATGACATTAATATGGCACTTTTAAAAATTTGCATTTTAACAGAGAAAAAAGACATTCTAATAGGTGATGTCCTAGAAGCATGGCTAGGCCTTATCTCTATAATAAAGAATTGTTTTAATTATATCTGAGAAATATGTGTGTTTTATTTTTTTAAAGATTTTATTTATTTATTTGACACAGAGAAAGAGAGAGAGAGAGCACAAGCAGGGGAAGTGGCAGGCAGAGGGAGAGGGAGAAGCAGACTCCCCACTGAGCAGGGAGCCTAATGTGGGGCTCAATCCCTGGACCCTGGGATCATGACCTGAGCTGAAGGCAGATGCTTAACCGACTGAGCCACCCAGGCGCCCCAAAATATGTGTGTTTTAGAAAGAAACCAATCTATCTAAGAAGTACATAAAGTCAACCTTTTTTAACTTTAAAAAGAAAAATTTAGTGAAGAGCACAGCAAATAAAAACCAATTTTGACTTTTCTCTGTGTGACATAAGCAGAAAATATTTTTAGATGCTTTTTCACTTCTGCATTTATTTATACAAGGATATGGTGAAAAATAATTTTGCATTTAATATTTAAATAAAGTTTATCCTCATTTTCAGGCTCTACCCACCCACAGCCACTCTCCAGGTGTTTTTTACAAAATTCACTTTATTCTCTGCAGCACCATGGGTAAAGCTGCTGTGGAAATGAATAGGACACATGTTAGCAATGGTGAGCTGGCTTGTGGAAAGGTGCAAAAAGGCATGAGAGGTAATGTTTGTTAGGTGAGCGCACGGTTTGTTTACTGGGCAGAAGAGTTTACATTTTATTCCATAGGCAATAAGGAACAATTTCTAAAGACTGGTGTAATGCTGTACTCAGAAACATTAGTATTTAGCGTTTGGAATATAACTATTATCTTAAGTATTAGACTTCTTTGACTAGATTAATATCTTTTCTCACTCTGAACCTACACCACCTCTTAAAACATTAATTATAAATAAAAAGCCAGTTGAGATAAATATAGGAATATCATGCATTTAGAATTCTTTTTCTGAGTTCCTGAAATGTGTCCATGAAATGCATTTCACCTAAACTTACAAATCATTCTATCTACGGTAATTTAAGAATTGTAATACTGACTTTCTTTGGAGACTTTTTCCTGGGGATTCGTGAACAGGACAATCAACTGTTTCTAGCTAGTCACTAATTATCAGGAGACACCCAGTATCTCTATTGTCACTGTTAAGTGTACAAACAAAGCCTAATAATAGTTGGGTAGCAACTTACTTTAGTTGTGACATAAGCCTTAAATTACAGAGTTCCACCATATGTGATTCCCTTGAAAAGATAAATGAAAATGTGTTTCTTTTTATTTCAGTTAAGTTGACCCTAAACAAAATAAAACTAAAGCAGCATCTTATAGGTTATAAACATAGAAGTTATAAACACGTGGATAATGTCTATTGTATGATTTCTGTTGAAATATCAATAGAAATAAAAGGATTTGTTTAAAAACCTGTACTATAATTTGTGCCAAAAACATAGAAGTTATTTTTGGCACAAAATAAATATATTTTGAGAATCTCAGTATATTTAGTTTAGTCTTATTTCTGCATTACTTTTTATAGTATACTTCCCTTTTCCCCACTATTATTTAAGATTTCAAAGGATTTCAAAAAGTCCATAGTTACTAAATACATATGTAGTCTTTACTATAAAATGTGGATTATTTTCCTTAATATCATTTTATAGTGATTTATAGAAGATAATTTTAATTATCATGAATCATTCTTTTATTTTATTTTTCCTTATGCTCATTTTCTTCATCCATTTCATTTTTTGCCTATTAGTGTAAGAATTTCATCAGTTAGGGACACCTGTGTGGCTCAGTCAGTTAAGTGTCCAACTCTTGATCTCAGCCCAGGTTTTGCTCTCAGGATCATGAGTCAAGCCCTGCATTAAGCTCCACACTGGGCATGGAGCCTACTTAAAAAAAAAAAAAAAAAAGATTAAAAAAAAGAATTTGGTCAATTCATGAACCAGGGCTTCAAAATTGGCTTGTGTAGCAAGCTGTGTATCTTCATTTCTTGTTAAGAAAGTACATTTCCTGTTATTATTTATGTCATAAGGTTTGTGCGGCTTGAATTTGCCAGTTTCTCAGCAGTGGAATAAGACCAAAACTGCCCTTAATTTTTTAATTTTTAGAATGATGCTTAATATTTGGACAAATGGCATTAAATTACCAGGGAGTTGGTTTATAGTTTCATCTAATGATGTCCTAAACATTATAATAAAATAAGACATGTATATAGAGTTAAATAATTATTTTGACAATATAGCTTGAGGGAAGCAATAAAAGTTCATTTCAGAAAATGTAGTCAATAAATTAGGAAAATGTGATATAAATCATATAAAGATGATTCAAGAAGTAGACTATAAGTAATAGTTGTTTTCTTTCAATGTTATTTTGTTTCCACTTCACTACACAAAAGCTATATTTATTTATCTTTGAGCTCCCAGCATCGTATCTAGAACACAGTAGGCATTCAATAAATATTTGCCAAAAGTATAAATAAATGAGTGGAAATAGATCTGAACCTAATATTGTTTTAAAAATTCCTATCATATTAACAAGGCTTGCTCCATGTTGCAGTCTAGTGCCTTGATAAAGCAAATATATCATTATATAATGTGGCTCACTATTTTCCTCAATGATTTATTATACAGGTCATTTTTAGAATAAACACAGATCATTAAAGAAGGCACTTTAAAGAACATTTGAGTCCATTTTCTTATTTTCTAAATGAGAAAACAGGTCCAGGAAAGCAAAGAAACTTTTAAATTGACTCCAAATTGCATGGCTTGTGGAACAGCTGGGACGGAACCCTGGTCTTCTGGTTTCCAGCCCAGTTTCCTTTGATTATACCATGATAAGTGTCAGTACCAAGAATTCTAGAATTCTGAGAGCTGGGTTTCAATCTTCCTTATTATAGTGTTACTTAAGACAAATTAATATACTTCCTTGAACACTACTTTCCTCATTTCTAAAGAGAGAATAGATTTCATCAGACTTCACAGTATGTTATGTAACTCAATGACATACTAGTTCATTGAATACATTATTATTGTTTATTGCTGTAAGTTAACTTATCAACATTTAATTATTTATTTCAATATGCCTGTTTTGGACTATTTTATTTATTTAGTGTTCAACTTTCTAGGAGTATTGGAAAACTATCAAGGCATATTCTTACATTTTATGTATAATCAGAACATTTGGCCACAGGTTAGTGACAATAATCTGAGATACTGGTGATGAGGGAATATGTCGTGTTCATAAGGACATTTAAAAACTCATTGTCCCTTCCACCAGAACTGTAGTTAAAGCATAGACTTAGAGATATTAAGTATAAGTTATGAAAACTGGATTTATTCATCTGTTCAGATGTCTAGACTTGTAGATGACTTCTCAAAGAATTTCCTTAAGCCATCTTATTTTATACTACTCCTTAAAGCTGTTGTTATTATTAAAAGAATATGATTATGTAATTAGATTTCATCAGCTGGGATAGGGATTATTTTAGGCTCACATTGTATTAGCTACAGACATTTTTTAATAACTAGATATTAGACATAATTATAGAGTACCGTAACATTATATCTATCCATGACTTCAAGCGAAAAATCATCCCTCACAATGTCTAACTGAATTCATAGTTATAACTAAACTTTATCTATGGATGTTGAAGGAGGCTTATTAATGTGAAAAAGAAATTATTTCATTTAAGTTGTCCCCTCATATTTATTGTTAACCAGAGAAGCAGATATTTTGAATGACTAACATTTTTGTGTTTGTAGGTGTGGTTGTCGGTTCTATTTTTAGTAATTATGATAAAAGAGCTTAGTGAAACTAGTCTGTTGTAAAGAAGTGAGATGTCCATTCAAAACAACTTATTAGTGATGGAAGCTGGCAAATGTTTGGGCTCAAATTCACAAGTAAACTTACAGACTTCCCATAGCTGTAGGAAGAAACCCTCAGTAAATAAAACTGAAATTTATTGTAGTCTCCACCACCTCTTCAAATTTAGAACCAGTGCTTTGTTCCTTTTTGATTCTTCATGCCTGGTATTTTATTTTTAAAGCCAATCCCCCAAAGCTAGCTGTTTTCTATTAACTTTTTCCTCGACAATCTCCCTGTGTGACAGTTTAAAAGAACATAGTATTAATGCAATATGTAAAATATGATGTAATTAATTTGTTCATTTGTTTATTAACTTTCAGCTGAGGAAAACTTTTGTCTAAAGAGTTTTGTCCACCTTGGTTTTGTTGTTAATAGGAATCAGACTTCCCTACATGATGTGGTGTAAATGCTTTGAGTGAGAGAAGCTCAACTATGTCTGTAGTTCTCAGGCACGTTTCAGTGCCAGGATATATTCAGCCAATAAAATGCGTACACTCACTCTGTGGAGTGCTATGTGCTTTGGAAGTGTTTCCATCCCAAACATTTAACTAGTAGAGATAAAACCATGGAAACTTTTAGTTCCACCAATCTCCACTCCCTCTCCCTCCTCTTAGCAGAGCACACCAACTTTTCAGTGCCATATATAATACTTCCTTTGTTTATTCATTTAAGCTATTTATTATCATTAAAAAAAAATCTAACAGAATCAACAGAAAAAAATATGTTGAGTAAATATGTAGAATACTTGTTTGGGAATCTAGTGATACATATACACTTAGAAATGCTACCTGTTTATTTAGATACCACATAACCAAGTCATACCTACATTTATTTGTGCTTTAGTTTCATACTGGAAATTTTCAAATGTATATTTATCAGATCTTCTTTGTCGCATCTTAAATAGTCTGGCGCCACGGTTACTGAGATGGGATAATTCTTCCAACATGATGTCTCTGGGAATGCTGACTTTTTTGCCCAGGTGCATGCCATCTACATCTGTAAAACAACATTCATGTGCATGAAAACCCCAAGGTAAGCATTTTTAAATGCTTTGCTAAATTCCATAATTTATTGCCTGCTATATGCTAGTGTAGTGGGTAAGACAAAGACAACTTACTCAGACTTTGGCTTGAATACTAGTGCCCTTACTTTCTAACTCTTGATTATAGATATGTTACTTGTTTTTCTAAGCCTGAGGCTCTTCATCTCTAAAGTTCAGATAATACCTACTGAATATGCTTGATATGAGGATTAAATAAAATACTTCATATAAATCACTTAGCTATGGTACCTGGCACATAGAAAGAGTGAATGAGGGGCACCTGGGTGGCTCAGTCATTGAGAGTCTGCCTTCGGCTCAGGTCATGATCCCAGGGTCCTGGGATCGAGCCCTGCATCGGGCTCCCTGCTCCATGGGGAACCTGCTTCTCCCTCTCCCTCTCCCACTCCCCCTGCTTGTGTTCCCTCTCTCGCTGTGTCTCTGTCAAATAAATAAATAAAATCTTAAAAAAAAAAAAGAAAGAGTGAATGAAAGTTAGCTAATAATACTATTAGTATAATTTAGTGTTTCCAAATTTAATGAGTTTTCAAACAGCACCGCTTATAGTTGTTTTAATAAGTTCTGTTTGGCATCCCACATTTTTATGTGTGTTTCAGCTATCCCTGTTGCTTGAGTGCCTACCCTTCCATCCATGCCACTCCATTTCCTTATCTCTGTCAAAATACCATTCATTCTGCAGCCACCACCAGGAGCCTAGTATAAAGTAGGCAGGTGGTAAGTACTGAATGAACAAATCCTTCCCAATTCAGCTTAATGCTATTTCTGTGAATCCCTTCACTAAATCTCTATTCATAATTATTCATGCCTTTTTCTTTCTTTCTTTTTTTAAGATTTTATTTATTTATTTGACAGAGCGAGAGAGAGAAAGAGAGCACAAGCAGGGGGAGTGGAAGAGGGAGAAGCAGGCTCCCTGCTAAGCAGGGAGCCTGATGAGGGACTTGATCCCAGGACCCTGGGATCATGACCTGAGCTGAAGGCAGTTGCTTAACCAACTGAGCTACCCAGGTGCCCCTATTCATGCCTTTTTCATATCTCCATAGCACTGAACCACAATTACTTGATTACATTTTACTTAGTTGATGGTTTGTATTTTTTTTGTTTTAGTCTTTGTGTCCCCCATGCCTTAAATAGAGAAGATGTCCAGTAAATGACTGTTATTTTCTATTTTTAGTACTGAGGGACTTTTTTTTTTTTTAAGATTTTATTTATTGATTTGACAGAGAGAGATAGTGAGAGCAGGAACACAAGCAGGGGGAGTGGGAGAGGGAGAAGCAGGCTTCCCGCTGAGCAGGGAGCCCGATGTGTGGCTCGATCCCAGGACCCTGGGATCATGACCCAAGCCGAAGGCAGACACTTAACGACTGAGCCACCCAGGCGCCCCTGAAGGACTTTTTTAAAGTTGAAAAGAGATGAAACTCCTCTATTTTCTCCATTAATCAGGAATATATTTCTGTGTAACCCACAGAATTCTCTTGCCATTGTAGACTGCTAGTAAATCACAGGAAGAAAAATTGGGCCATTAGTAAAATAAATAATTAATTATTCTGATTGACTAGGGCAACATTCTTTGATGATGTGACAAATTAACCCTAATAATTAAGCTTTTGGAAGTGTTAGGGATGAAATAACAGAATTACTTGAATTTTCTCCTTATTTTGTTTTGGAAAAAAATCAATTAGTCTACATATTTTGATGTTATGTGGAGAGAAGCTCCACTAATCATAAAAATTGCCTGCATTTCTACTTCTACCTGACAGTGATGAGGTAGCACTATTCTCCCCCGGCTGAAGCAGTGTCAGACCAATATAGATGAAAAAGAAGGCTTAAATAAGAGCAAGAGTCTTGGAACATAATCGGAACATTTCCAAGCTCAAATAAAAAATCTTTTCATACCAGGAAACAGGAAGATCTCAAACCCAGTGAAAAAAAAGACAGATGTCAACATGAGATGACTGAGATATTAAAATTACACAACCAAGATTTCAAAGCAGCCACGATAAAAATGGCTGCTCAATGGACAGAGACAGCGGAATAGAGGGGAGAATGGGAAAAAAAATCTGTGAACTGGGTGACAGAATAATAGAAATCACCCAATAAGAAAAACTGAGGAAAAAATAAACTGAAAAAAAGATGAAGAAAGCCTTAGGGATTAATGGGACTAGAACAAAAGATAATTTGTGTCACTTAAGTCCCAGGAGAGGAGAAGGAAGTGGGGCTGGAAAAGTACTCAAAGAAATAATGGTTGGGGCACCTGGGTGGCTCAGTCAGTGAAGCAGTTGTTAAGCATCTGCCTTCGGCTCAGGTCATGATCCTGGAGTCCCAGGATTGAGCCCTGCATCAGGCTACCTGCTTGGCGGGGAGTCTGCTTCTCCTTCTGACCTTCCCCTCTCTCATACTCTCTCTCACTCTCTCTCAAATAAATAAATAAAATCTTAAAAAATAATAATAATGCTTAAAAACTCCCCGAATTAGGCAAGAAAGATAAATTTATAGAGTCAAGAAACTAAGAGTGTCTTATATAAGATAAATCTATAGAACTTCACAAAATATATTATAAACTTCTAAAAATTAAAGATGAAAAACCTTGAAAGCAGCCAGAGAAAAATGACAACTTACCTATAGGGAGGGAAAACAAAAATGAGAATGACAGTGAATTTATCACCAGAAACCATGAAAACCAGGAGAAAGTGGCACAGAGTTACTGAAAGAAAAAAACTGTCAACCCATAATCTGATACCCAGTGAAAATATCCTTTAGAAATGAAGGAGAATTTAAGACATCTTCAGATGAAGGGAAACTAGGAGAATTTGTTTCCTAGAGACCTATCCTAAAACAATGGTTCGGGCAGCTATAACAAAATACCAAAGACCAGTGGCTTCTAAACAACAGAAATTTATTTCTCACAATTCTGGAGGCTGGAAGTCTGAGATCTAGGTGACAGCATGGTTGGGGTTCTGGTGAAAGCCCCCTTCTGGGTTGCAGATTGCAGATTTCTTGCTGTGTTCTCACATGGTGGAAGGGACAAGATAGCTCTCTTGGACCTCTTTAATAAGGGCATTAATCTCTTTCATGAGGACTCCACTGTCATGACCTAATCATCTCCAAAGATTCCATCTCTTTATACCATCACAGGGGCATTAGGATTTCAGTATATGAATCTGGTGGGGACACAAACAATCAGACCATAGCAAAAAGCTAAGGGAAGTCCTTTAAACAAGAGGGAAACAATAAAATATGGAGCAAAGAAAGAATACAGTGAGCAACAATGTGGGTAAATACAATAAGCTTCCCTTCTCCTCTTGAGTTTTCTAAATTATGTTTGATGTTAGAAGCAAAAACTATAACACTCTCTGATATAATTATAAATGTATGTAGAAGAAATAGTTAAGACAATTATATTGCAAACAGAGGAGGATAAAGGGACATGAAGGTAGGTAAGTTTTCTATACTTCACTTGAATTGATAAAGTGATGACATCCGTAGACTTTGATAAGTTATGCCTATGTAATGTAATTCTTTTTTTTTTTTTTTAAGATTTTATTTATTTATTTGACAGAGAGAGAGAGACAGCGAGAGCAGGAACACAAGCAGGGGGAGTGGGAGAGGGAGAAGCAGGCCTCTCACAGAGCAGGGAGCCCTATGCGGGGCTTGATCCCAGGACCCTGAGATCATGACCTGAGTGAGCCAAAGGCAGAGCCCAATGACTGAGCCACCCAGGCGTCCCACATATGTAATGTAATTCTTAGAGCAACTCCCAAAAAAGCTATTACGGATGGACTTGAAATCACTATAGATAAATAGAAATGGAAATCTTAAAAATGTTCAAGTAAACCATAGAAAAATAGGAAAAAGAAAACAAATAAGAAACAGAAGCAACAAACAAAACAAAAAAAATAAAATGATAGAGTTAAGCCCTAAAACATCAATAATCACATTAAATATGAGTGCTCTAAATATATCAATTAAAAGACAAAGATTGCAGATTGGATTAAAAAACATGATCCAGCTTATGCTGTGAGTTGAACAATAGAGGCAAGTTGAAAGTAACAGGATGGATGGCCACCTAGGTGGCTCAGTCGGTTAAGCATCTGACTCTTGATTTTGGCTCAGGTCATGATCTCAGGGTCATGAGATTGGGCCCTGTGTTAGGCTCTGTGCTCAGCGGAGAGTCTGCTTGAGATTCTCTCTTGCCTTCTCCCTCTGCCCCTCCCCTCACTTGCACACATGCACTCTCTCTCTCTCAAATAAATAAATAAATCTTAAAAAAAAAAAAAGAAACTAACAGGATGGAAAAAGATGTATCAAGGAAATATTAATCAAAGATCAGGAGTGGTCATATTAATATCAAATAAAGTGGATTTCAGAGCAAAGACAATTACCAGAGACAGAAAAAACATTATATAATGATTAAAATATCAATCCACCAAGAAGACCTAGAAATTCTAAATGTGTATGCACCAAACCACAACAGCAACAACAAAAAGAATTAAAGAACAGAAAGGAGAAATAGACAAATCCACAGTTATAGTTGGAGACTTCAACATCCCTCTCTCAACAAAGGATAGAACAACAGACAGAAAATCAGCAAGATATAAAAGGACTCAATAATACCATTAACCAGGAAGATCTAACTGACATTTATAGAATTAGATTCTACTGAACAACAACAGAATGCACATTCTTTTCGAGTGCTCATGGAACATATACCAAGGTAGACCATATCCTGGGCCATAAAATAAACCTTAACCAATTTAAAAGAGTTAAAATTGTACAGAATATGATTTCTGTTTACAATGGAATCACATTAGAAATCAGTAACAGATAGTAGGAAAATCTCTAAATATTTGGAAACTAAACAACATACTTCTAAATAATCCATGGGTCAAAGAGGAAGTCTCAAGGGAAATAAAAAAAATCATTGATCTGGGAATGAAAATGAAAATAAAGCATGTCAAAATTTATGGGACACAGT